GGAACATCGAGCGTACATGAGGCTACCGCGACAAGAGGTCTTTCCATTTCCAAAGCGCTGACATTGAAAGCAACGCATTGGATTCGGTATATGTGGCCTGAATGAACAGTTTAGGTATCCAGCTTTGATGTTTCTAGGCAGGTTAGGAGACTTGAATGTAAGTATGACATATTTAGTGGGAATGAGTTGACCTTCTTTCCATATTTTGATCCTACGAGCACCACACACGTTTTGATCTAACAAATTCCTCTTCGGTTACTGACAGTAAGTCTATTTCAGAGATTACTCCTCGGGACGAATTTAGTGTTATGTGGCTTAACTACAATGTTTGTTTGTTCTAATTTAGTTAGTTTCAAAAGACTATTAGACTGCTTTCCAGACACAGTTTCTATCAGAAGGTCTCCAGATTGAAGTCTCTTAATATTTTTCAGTTCTCCTTCAGAAGACAAAAGGTGTTTGTTTATTAGAAAGGGTGACTTTTTTCCAATTCTTCAGAGCTGTTTATAATTAAGGAACACGGACAAAGTACATCTAATTCAGTGCTTTCTATGTCGCTTCTTAGTCTTTTAGTCACAGTCGGAGTATCATGTACATTGGTGGAGCAGGAAGGTATCATAGCATTCATATTTAAATGGAGAAAGATTCGGGTCCGACCACTCCACCCACCATGAAGCCCAACAAGGGGACGCAGATACATACGGACCTATATGCAGTCTGAAGTCCCACAGTCGGCTTTCCTAAAAGCAGGTACTCCCGAGAGCTTGTCCCCAAGCCACTGACACAAGGACTAGTGACCAGCCGATTGACACCTGTGAGGATGACAAGGTGCCTCCTGTTTAACTGAAGCAGAGGCCAAAGCAGTGTGTTGGGAACAGTACCTCGCCCCTCAACTACCAGGACCCTCCTTTTCAGTGACATGGCAAACACGTGGGCAGTTTTCTCGCCATTCGAAGAACCAGGGACAAGGCTGTCCCAGTTTCTTATGACGAGCCCGAACCTCAGAAGAGGAAACCACATGGGAGAAGGAAAATGGGAAAAGTTGCAGTTAAGAGGAGAGGAGGCAGAAAGGAGGAGAGATCATGGGGGCTCCAGGATTGTGACACCCGATCACCGAGACGGTAATCCCCTGAAGGATCTTCACCTGCTATGCTTTAGCTGGGCATGTTGGAACGGCCTTCACGCCTAGGGTGGCCCTACCAGGAGCTATGCTCCCGACGTACTTCGCCCGGTCCGCCCAGTGACGTTGAGGCAGCATAGCAGGACTTGGGGGAGGGTAAGGTACCATAATTTCCGGAAGAAACGCCGCGGCATTTACGTGTTTAAAACTTAAATTTTCAGCAGGTGCGGCGTTTAGGTGCACTAAAAATAAAATATTTCCTATGATGGTCATTGTACATAGTTTGGATGGCCTTGTCACTGTGCATAGACTGGTGCTGTTCCCACACAAAAGACCACTCAGTTGCTTTTTGCGAACATTATTTTGTTTACATTCTTTCCCTTGAATGGACCTACATGCCTTATTCACCCTAAACGAGATCTCAGAACAATAACATTCTTCCCCCTTTCAAATCAACATTCTCATCAGTTCGAATAGTCTCTCTCCTCTGCCATTCGATGAATCTTCCAGGACCCATCTTCTCCCCACCCCTGCCTTTTCTGCAATTTTTTCAAGCAATAACGAACTCTGACGTATTTCCCCTTCAGCATGAATGGATTTTTCGTGACATTCTGCCAGATACAGATCCCATCAGTTTGGGTACAAGTACTTGTTGAATAGTTTTTAAGTAAGAAGGGAGCGGAAAATTTTTGAAAATGTCCCTAAACGGCACAGAAGCTATACTGCTGGTTTTAAGCTTAATGTAATTTCACGTGCTGAACAAATTGGAAATCGAGCAGCAGCTCGAGAGTTTGAAGTGGACGACAGATGTATTCGAAGTTGGAGAACTGAAAAAGAACTTCTTAAAAATATGCCACAACAGAAACAAGCCAAAAGAAGTGGTACTGTAAAGTGGCCAAATCTAGAGGACGACCTTGCAAACTGGATAAAGGAGCAACGAGGAAAGGGAATGGCAATTTCGACTGTAAAAATCGCTTACAAGCAAAACGAATGAACATAAATGATTTCAAAGGAGTCGTAGCAGATTTATGAAAAGAAAAATTATTTCTGTGCATACTAGAACAACAGTCGGGCAACAATTACCAGTGGACTGGCAGGATAAAAAGTCATCTTTTCTAAAATATGTGACAGCTATTATTGACAAAAAAAACTTCTTCAGTCGCAGATAATAAATATGGATGAAATGCCGTTAGCTTTCGACTCTCCTGCAAACAGAACTGTTGATGAAACTGGTGCAAAAACTGTATCTATGTTTATGACGGGGCATGAAAGAACGTCATTTACATGTGCGTTAGCTTGTGCCGCAAATGGTGACAAGCTAAAGCCGATGATCATTTTTAAACGAAAGACTATTCCGAAGGGAGATGGTATGTCATATATCAGGACTTAGGTTGAGTTTTTGCATTTATACGGCCCAGGACGATGTCACGCGCAATTTAATCTATTGCGGCGTTTCTGTGTAATTTTTATTTTTTCCCCACCATTTTTCTCGAGTGTGGCGTTTACGCTGATGCGGCCTTTCTTCCGGAAATTATGGTATATAGTGCCAGCCCTCGATAAGCCTTAAGTATATGTAGGAATTTATTTATTCAGGACTCAGATAAGCATTTAGCATGTGCAAGAAAGAAATAGACATTATGTATAATAAATAACTAAACTAATTACAAGTACAATCAGGCTTAATTGTTTCAGTGTGCGATAGAAGCAAGACAAAATTTAGCAAAAAACTTTACCGATTCCAAGGAACTTCAGTCAATATAGCAGATTGCTCTATTCCTTAACTTTCTGCTTTGATCCAGCTTAATCAATTTTTACAGGCTGTTTTATTACAGCAATTCTATGAAAACTTAAGTTTCAATTTTTGATTATGTCAAAAAGAGTTTCTAATTTTGGAGCTGAGAAAGTGAAAGCATATTTCAATGTCCATTAAACAAAAAGTGGAACTGCTGCAAAAAATGGATAAAGGTATATCCGTCTCAAAATTATGGGAGGAGTATGGTATTGGAAAGTCAACTGTATATGACATAAGAGAACAGAAAAAGGAACTTTTTGTGGATGCCGACACCTCACTTGCAATGAATTACAGAAAAATTATTTGTTACGCTAAAAGTAAAGATCATGACAAAGTGATGACTGAATGGGTCAGACCGAGTTACAGTGAGGACGTGCCATTGACAGGTCAAATTCTAATGGCTCAAGTTAAAATATTTGACTAAGATACGAACTTAAAACACGGAGTGCACATATTCGACAGGTTGGTTAATGAAATTTAAAAATCGCCATGGTATAAGGCAATTTAGAATTTCAGGTGAAAAATCTTCAGCTGATACTGAAGCTGCAGAACTATTTGCAGATGAATTCATTAAATAGTTAAATGTTATCTCCAAATTTACCATGCTGACAAAACTGGCCTTTTCTGTCAATATATAATGCAAAATACCTTGGCAAACTCTACAGGAAAGGCTCCAGCTCGTGTCAAAGACTCCAAAGCGAGACTAACAATTTTAGCATGCGCAAATGCTGCAGGAACACGCAAGTGTAAACATTTTGTAATTGACATGATCTTGAGCATTTAAAGGAGTAAAGAGTTTCCCATTATATATCATGCAAATAAAGGAATACTGATGACAAAAGTGTCAATGAAATGGTTTGAAAATTATTTCACCAAGGCTCGTCAGATTTCATTTGGTTTACCGATTTACCTGATTATGCAAAAATTGTCCTGATTGTAGACAACTGTTCAACTCATATTTCACTTGAAATTTTAGTGAAAAATAACATATCTGCATTATTCTTTCCTCCAAATTTTACGCACATCATTCAGCCTATAGATACTGGAATAGTGCACACGCTGAAAATGCAAATATACAGTAGAATTTTTAAAATCCATGTTAAATTTCTTGAATAATGGCAAGACTATTCAAGAAATCTTGAAATATTTTAACATAAAATCTGCTTTGTGGAGCATTGCAAGATACTTTAAAAACTACTTGGCATAATTTAGGGTGAAGATGATGAAGATGATAGCAGTGAATTTGAAGGTTTTTGGATATCGCAAATGAAAGGTTAAATTTTACAATTAATAATTTTTTTAAAGAAATGTGGAGAAGTCCTAATAAATGAAGATGGCATAACAGAAGTTTTTCATTGTTATGACAATGCTCCAAAATCAATAAATTAACGGACGGCAAAATCTGTAGTATGGTTTCTAGATCCAGAAAATACCACTACCGATAGCAAAAGAGAAGTTATTGAAAATGAAAAAATTTCGATTGACAAATTATTTGGAATTCTTGACACAGCAATTACAGGACTTGAACAATGGAACTTTGAAACTGAATACGATATTATGTCTGTCTACAGAATTAAAGACAAAATATCAGCACAAAAAAGCAAATTAAACATCTTACATTGAAAGAAATGTTTATTAAAGTAAACAAATAAATATTAAAGTTTTTTTTTGTAAATTTTGTTACCCTTTAGATCATAAATGCTTCATTATTTCATAAATAATTATTTCTTATTTTTAATTTTATAATTTCTACATGCCATCTTACAAGTTTTAAACTGATGATCTAATATCCAAGAAAATCCCAAATCCGGAATCACCGAAGTCACGATGATCCTGGATTTCGGACTTTGTACTTGAAAGAAAACAATCTCTGGCTATAGTTCTTCTTTCACTTAAGATTACCGTAATTTGAAATAAACTATGAAAAAAATGCTTATTAAAAATGTTTCTTGATTTATTTCAACACATGTATCTAAACACCAGATAAGCATATTGCAAAAACTAAAAATTTAAAACACATTTGTTTATAAATATTAACCATACAATGTAGATCACCAAAGAAAGTTATAATTAATCAATCAATCACATTTATTTTATGAGATCTTAAAATTTATTAAAACTATCAGACCCATTCTTTTTAAATAAATATGAATACAAAATCAAAGTGAATAACAAATACTATGCATCAAATATGTACCATAAAATAATTAATTCTACTATACAGATTGTTCCCCCCCAAAAAAGTACAATACAATACAATTAAAATGGGGGGGAGGGGGAGAGAAAGATGCTATAAATTTATACGTAAATCCTGAAGAAAAATTTGTGCAAGGATATATAATTATTAGTTCTTGAAATTTACCAATTATCTTAAATTGGCATTTAAATTTCTTACTATAAATATTTAAATCTCTTACTGCTATACAATTATTTCTTTACATCAAAATAACAAAGACATCACATTAAAAAAGTACAATATAAAAAATTAATCATCCCTATTACTAATATTTATATTACTGGAATATTGAGCAACTTGTACAAGATTTTTGTGATCATAAAGCCACTTTATTCATCAAAATATTCCATTAGAAACAAATAGCAGATAAATAGAAATATACAAGAATTTTTCAGAATTGCTATTTTATGCTCAATATAAGACAGATTTGAATGAAAAAATATACAAAATTTCAAGCTGTTACTTTTCTTTGATATGTTTTATTTTTGGCAGTAATCTAGTCATTGTTAAATAAAATGTGTTATTTCTGTCTAGTCTACTAGTCTTGAGGTCAAATTTTTTTATATATATCACCATTCAGCAGATGCTGTAGGAGTAGAACAGCAATTTGGCATTCTAGACAATGATTTAAAATTGCATGAATTTGGATCAGTTCCTTTTAAAAAGTCAGAAGAAGATGGAGCACAGTTATTCACATACGACATATTATCAATGGAACCGGAATTTGAAATATCACATTCATCCACAAGTTCCATTATTGGAGTTATTCTAGAAAACTGAACATAATTTTCGTCTGATATCAGTCCACTGTGGGACGAGGTGATGCTACCTGTGACGTAACCAGTATCTTGCCGCTCAGAACCATTTGACGGATTGGGAAATGTGTCCTGAGAATCCACACAAAAGCTCATGGCATTTTCAGATACAGTACACATTGAAACTACAGAATTATCACCACACGACTGGAAGCAATTTCCCTTTTCATACTGTTCAATAGGAGATGTAGGGCCACCTAAAATATAATAAATTATAAGAGCATAATTAGATAAGACCTAATTTAATCAATACCTATTGTTGAAAATGGATAGATTGATAATTTATTTTCTCTTTAATAAATCCTTTTCATTAAATAATATTTATTTAGTTACACAATTTTATTACAAGCCATGACACACATAGTCTATTATAAAAATCTTTACAACAGTTGCCTAGATATAGATAACTGCAATATAGTTACAGTTACAATTAATGTCACAACCCTCCCACCTTTTAATTAATAATCAAAATGTGCAATAAAATTATCAATTAACTAATAATTCAGTTAAGAGAAAAAAATCTAGGAGGTAACTTGATAGGCCTTCCACTTCTTGTCATGACAGTAGCTAGTGTAGGAATAGATTGATCAGGCAAGGAAAGTTTCCCTTCTTCATTCAGATTCTTTTCAACTGATGCAGATATTTCCAAAGTGAAATTTTTTTGATTGGGTTACACCATTTTCCTATAAGCTGTTTGAATTCGAACTATTCCAATGTTCCCATCTTTACCTAGATATGTGTCAATCACCTTAGCCATCAACCAGAATGCCCTCCATATTCCTTTAGTTTCAATTAGGGCAATGTCTCCAACATTTGCACTGCAATAATTTTTAGGCATTTTCAGACCTTGAATCAGTTGATCACAATATTCAGACTGAATCCCTTTCTTAAAACTCTCAAATCTTGTTGATGTCTTAATCTTTTAAAGTTCATTTAGTCGATTTGGTCTAAATAAGGTAATTCAACCTCTCTAGTTTCATCTGACATCCCAGTTTAGGAATTCGAAAAGATTGTTGACGCCTATGAAATTAGTTCCGTTATGACTATAAATAACCAATGGATGTCCTCTTCTTGCCATAAATCTGCACAATTTAAGTAAAAAACTTTGAGTTGAAACAGAGATTAGTTTTAAGTGAATGGCGCTATACACAGCACAAGTAAACAAAATAATCCAGGTCTATTTCTGAGTTTTCAAAAATATAGGACCTGTATAAATATAGATAACCTGTATAAATATAGGATTTGTTAGATAAAATACAGGACACTCTACAGATCAGCAGCATCTCGAATTCTACTTTCAGGTAAAGATACTGGGATACTCTCCATTTCTTTAGCTTGACGTTTTCTGCATTTGATGCATCGTGACATAAGTCTGAACAGTACTCCTACTTTTAAGTTTGGAGCGGTTAGTCTCCTCCCCCACCTATCTCTGGTACCTGGACAGTAAAGCCTGGTTGGACTGTAACTGTTGAGTGTGACAGGTTCTCCTGAACTGTGCTCTCACATATTGCCACTTATGAGCCTCTCTTTTAAGGGCATGAAAATCTTTGCCACATGCACTAAGTGCCGAAAACATCAGGCATCTGCCGAGCACATAAAGCTGCTTAGGCCTCTCTAAGGGAAGATATTTACTCCAATCCCCTCCGTGTCCTCGACTTTCTTAGAGTCAACGGTCTTGTGGACCTTCTCCGACTTTGTCAGAAACCGAAGGAAAAGCAACAACAACTTTTAAGTACCCAGAATGTTTCTCTTAGCTTAAAGATCAAAACAGGTACGCCAGCATGGTGCATCTTTGAATGCATATCTTTAATGATATACACCTGTTCCTCGATTTATATAGTATAAAAATTGACGGCTTTCAAAAACTCGGTAAAAATGTATACTCGGCTGCTATACACAAATACATATATATGAAGTCATTTTTTGAATATCATTCCTTCGGTAACATCGGTGGCGACAACAAAGATGGGGATTCTCCATAGTATGTAACTGTATTTCACAACAGTAAAGCTATTTGGTTCATGTGAACTAGCACAGTATCAGTATTTTAGCAGCAAAGCTTACAACATTTTTATCTACATATTTGAATGTTTACTGGTAATTTTTCAACATTTATATTTTTTGTGGCATTTTTATAATTTACGTAATTTTTTTAAGGTTTTATAATGCCAAAAGATTTGGGGGGGGAGAAGAAGAAAAGTGATTTCTTTAGAAGCACAAATTAAAGTATTAGATCATCTATGTAACAGAGAAAGAGTAACAGATGTTGCTAACTTTTACTCCATGAATGAAGCCACAATAAGGAAAATTAGAAAAAGTGTAGCAGCTGGAACTTGCAGCAGTAAGAGCACAATTTCATATGTAAGAGATGATACAATGGAAAATATGGAAAAGGCAGTAGTGATATGGATAGAAGACCAAAATCAAAAATGGATTCCAATTGACACTAATGCTATTACAAATAAGATTTAAAGAGCACTTCAGAATCAGTCGCTGTCAACTTCGTCAGATGAAAAAAAGGTATCTTTTCCCACAAGTCATGTTGGTTTGAGAGATTTAAACAAAGGTTTTCTTTACATAATCTAATTGAATTACATAATCATAATTGAATTACATTATAATAATTGAAAGAAAGTGCATCGGTTGATTCAGATCCAGTAAAATTTGCTGAAACCATTGCTGCCAACTCTGGTTTGTTCTGAAAAAAAAAATGCCTGAAAGAACCTATTTAGCTAAAGCTTGCAAATCAGCTAGTGGTCATAAGGTAGCAAAAAGTCTTATAACAATTCTTTTCTGTTACAATGCTTCAGGTGATTATATAATGAAACCACTGGTTATTAACAAATCAAAAACAGCACATTCATTTAAAGGAATAAACATAAATATCCCTCCCGTTTATTGGATGGCTAATAAGAAAGCATGGGTCACTGCTATAGCTTTCAATAAATGGTTTAATAACATGTTTGTCCCAGATGTAAAAAATTAAGTAAAAAGAGATTGACTTTTAAGGCTCTTCTATTAATTGATAATGTACCTGGTCATCCTCATGATTTACAACACGAAAATGTAGAAGTTGTCTTTTCACTTAAGAATACGACTTTCTTATTACAGCCGTTAGATCAACACATTCTTGAAAGCAATATGGCCAGATGCTGCTAAAGATGAGAATGATAGATTACCATTAAAGCATGAATAGTCTCAGATCACTAAATAGGCCCAAACTATAGGAGGAGAAGGTTTTGATTATTTAGCTCAGGCAAGTATTGAAAAAATAATGGCTGATGAGGATGAATTAGTTAACATGATTCATGAAACAAATAGATATGATGACGATGATTCTGATGAAGAGCAATCTGAACCAAATACGTTCACAGCAAGAACTATCAGCATAGGACTTGAATTGGGGAGAAACTTAGGTAATCGTTTTTTTACAATATGACACGAATGTTGAACGAGCTCTCTGATTCTAATGGGAGCTTAGTAAGTGCTTAAATCAATATGAGGGGGTTTACAAAGATTTAGGAAAAAAACCCAGGCAATTGTTAATCCCGGATTTCACTAAAGTCTTGTCGATCTGAGATCTTCCCTAATTCATCATCCATTGAAGCAGAATCTTATCAAGAATCCTCAAGTGATGAAAGTGATGAAATCATACCAATCAAAAAGAAAAGACTAATAGTTCATGAAAGTGATGACATATAATACTTTTTTTTTGAATGATCTTATATTTTTCTAATGTAAAATAAATTAAATATGTACTTCTGTTACCTACATACAGTGAAATACGTTTAACGCAAAAACGCTTAAGACAAAATATCTGTTAACACGAAATATTACAATGGTCCCGTCAAACTACTATATGCTTTCATGCATTTTGTTTCTCTTAATACGAAAAGATATCCTTTCTGGGAATGAACAAAATATGGAAAACGCTGGCCTCGCAGGTGAGATTTAAGAGGGGTGTGAAATGAAAGAGAGGTGGTTTCACATGTTTCGTAGAAAGGTGGCTTTGAAATACCCTCAGAATAGTTTAGTTTTAAATTAGTTTAAATTTTTTTTTTTTTTTTTTTTTGTGTTTTATTTTGCTGTTTAAGTTCAATTTTAATTTAAATTGCAAGCACGTCGCTTAAAGAGACGAAGCTATTGAGACATTACTAAAATAAGATTTTTTAATTAAATAATTTTATTAATGAATTACCGCTTTAAGTCTCAATTGTTTCGTTTGACAAAACGTTCTTATGGTATTAGCCAATTTGGAATTTTCTCATGCTTTTCCCTTGATAAGTTTGTGTGAAACTGCGAATTAGGCTAATTGACCATTTATTTCATTCTTTGTCTTTAAAATGTTTTTGATTGTTTGCGTACAAAATTGACATTAAAAAAAAATTTTTTTTAGTCTTTTCTTATTTCCAATTTGTTTTTGTAGATTAAAACTGCTTTAGTATTGTATTATTGTTTTTACTTGAAGTTAAGTGTGTTCTTTGGAACCGCAGTGTCATGGAATTTCTAGAACATTTGACATTTGAATCCAATAGGTACAGGTTACAAAATAGTAGCAAAATGAATTCAATCACAATCGGCGAAATGAAGGTATTTTGGGGGATCTGTATGTACATGTCAGTTGTAGATTTACCATTTAGAAGATGATAATGATCACTGCAAACAAGGCAGGAAAATGATTTCAAATGCAATGACCATAAATTGTTGGGAAGAGAGTTGTATGCATGTACGTATATGCACGCTGTCCACTGTAGTGAACAAACTGTAGCAATTATTTAAAACAAAATTTGAATAAAATTATTATTTTTTTATTATTACTAAGGTTAAGTAGAAAAAAATACAAACATTTTTGTTTAACTTCTCTAGATTATTTGTATGCAACAAAGGGTTAATTTTATTTTTCAGTTAAAAGAATGGAAATATTTTATCACTGTTCTTCCATACTGAAATTCAGATTTATCATTATTTTTTTTAAGCTAGTCTTTCATGGTTTTTTTATTACTTTTATGCCACTTAAATTGAGCATATTTAAAAACAGCACACGAAATTTATCATGCGCTTCATCAATAAATGAATTAAAGCAGTTTAAAAGGAAGGAACATGTAACATGAAAGAATATATAAGAAAGCTAATTTCATGAAAACAATGCCATTAAATTTTAAAATAAAAATGAAATTCTGCTGACTACGCAAATCTGTGTTTCTGCATGATACCTAGTCTGCACTTTATATTTTGTAATGAGAATTTCTTAATATCTAGATTCGTACAATTTAAAAAAAATATAAAATGACAGTGATATAAAACAAATGAAAAATTCAAAAATTAAAGATTGTTCACATTTAAAATTTTTTTTTATAACAATAATGTTTTAGAATGTAGTTTAATCAGTGTGTACCTGAATCATACTTAGCACTTGCAATAGGTGATAATGCTGGAGGGGATATGGAAAGAACATTGATAGATTCACTGTGTTTAGGGGAAGTGATGGGACTAGAAGACAACACATCCTGAAAAAAAGAATTTGTACTATTAGATTAACTAAATATAAAAACAAAGCATAAAAAAAAGGTCATTCACCTAAATTATATATATGTGAAGAAGCATTCAAAATATAAGATTAAGAGACAAATTTTAATTTTTTATCACCCCTGAGAATAAGCTTTAGAGATGCAGGTACTAGAATGAAATGAATAGGGTTACATACTAAATGTGAATTCAAAATTGTTAGCTACATCATAACCTTGAAAGCAATAATTGTTTCAAAATCTAGAAATGTAGTTGAATCTCTTTGAAAAAACTAACATACATATATATCACATTTGTTTGATTGTAACTCATATCCCCTCCTATATAAACTATGCAGCTTATTTTACCATGATCAGAACAGGATAACCAAAGATAAAAATTCTTTTCGATGATATTAATGCGAGAGAGAAAATGTTTTATATAATCAAGTAAATATAATAGGTTTAAAATGATGATATGGAATTTTAATAGAATAATACAGTAAGAAAGATAATTAAAAAATATCTTTACATAAAACATTTTGCAGAATGCTATCATATAAGAAAACACATTATGATAAAGAAATTGCATATTTTTGTCTTACAGCAATTTTTCCAAATACCTTGAGTAAATTATAAATATGCAAGAGAATCCCAGCATGAATGAAATGATAACCAGGGTTCGTACACATTTCTGCACACGGAAATTAAGTACCTTTAAGGACCATTAATGAAAAAAATTAAGGACCTATGAGCAAATGGGAACTGAATAAATTCAATTGAATATATTTATCTATGCCTGAATTTCCCTTTTGCAATGCCATCCTAAAAATAAAATAGATCCCTAAGTAGTATGCATTATTGCTAAACATGAATTAATTAACATAAAAATTTATTAAGTCTGAGAACAAAATAAACTTTATGCAATTTATCAAGTAGCATTAAATATTTTACACTTATAATTGTTGGTCATATTTGAAACAAGATAAGTGACATTTATGTTTTACTAAAAGTTAGCTTTATGTTGATTTTTGTTATGTCTCATTTTGTCACATACCTGGTCAGCCTAGAGGTTTAGTAAATAATCAGGTAGATTTTATGTCAAACTGCATAGGTTAAAATGAGAAGTAAGATCATAATCAGCGTGATTCATAACAAAAGACTGAATGTTGTCACTGCTGCTGCTTGTCTATAGAGACCTGCTGATTAGAACAAACCTGAAAGGTCTGATGTAGGCAAGGTTGGCAAGTGTTGAAAGTTAGTCAAGTTCTGTTTGATGAAGTTAGTGTCGCAGCTTCGTGTACAGTTCCAGGGGTTGTAACCCAGTTAATATACACTTTAAGGTTTCAATAAGCCATTAAAGCACCAGAGGTGATAAGCTGTTTTGTATTATTTCAAGTAGATGCATAGAATATGTTTTACTTGAATTTTTACATTTTTATAATTTATCTTGAGACCACAGTGAGTATTAATGAAAGGCAATAACTCGCTTTAATATGTAGAGATAATTTTTAAGGGTAAGCAGTTAGATATAAATAATTAATTTAGGTAGTTTGATAATCTTGGTCATTATGGATTTACATGACCACTATTAAATTTTATTTTTTAACAATATTTGTTAAAAAAGCCCTATTTAAATCAAAATTTAATAAAATTTCACATTTTAAAGTAGATGTAATTTATGACACAGACACTTAAACGATATTAAGATATTACACATTAAAAGCTACAGAACATTTTTGTTTTGTAACAACAACAGTCAACAAAATATTTATCCATCATCTTAATTTGAAGGCTTTCCAGACTTTTTGGCTAGTTTATATCGATTTCCTACTCTTTAAGCATCTTTTCTAACAATTAGAGATTTGTCTCAATATGCAAATCAATGCTGTCGCTAGTATCTGCGTCTTTATCTCCTAACTTGTCAACCTCTCCACAATATACATATGAGGGTTTAATTGATCTGGTAAAAGTTCTGTCGGGAGTTTTGGACTATTAATAGTCCAAAACTCCCGACAGGCGTGAAGCATATTATCGCTATGTCTGAAATTAACTGCAATAATATTAGAAAAAGGTTTAAATAAGCCTCTCATTTAAAAAGAGCTTAGAACATAAAGGCATGTTCTGATGCTAACAAAATCAATTACATCTCACGGTGACGTAATTAAACAACAACAGTCAAATTCAAACTAATAATGTGGACTAGTGGTCAAAGATTATACAATTTAATTTAAATTTAATCTGGCTCAATAACTATCATATGAGGAAATAGAAATGGAGAATTATAGTAAAAATTGAAATCATAAACAATTGGGTAATTTACATAATAATAACTGCACATATCTTTGAAGAATAATTTCCTTTATGTAATCAGTTTCTTTCTTCAACATGCTTCCTTTTCCTTTTAGAATTTTTGGATTTAATTAAGGATTTCTGTTGTTCTAAAAGACACTAAATGCATTCAGAATGTACAGAAAAAGCAGCTAATTTTATTTCTTTAGTAATATGAACATTCAGAAGCAATATGAAATATATATAGTAAAGGCCGGTTAGAGCTGATGTGGCAGAATTTCTAGAATTTAGTGACGCACCAAACAACAAAATCTAGAAATGGCAAAATGTTTAGAATTTATAGCAGGCATTGGAGGCAGAATTTAGAAAGACATCAGGCAGCATAATTTAGGATCCACAGAGGTGGAAAATGCACATCAGGTGGGAAAATGCCTAGTGCCAGCAGGCTATGTGTATGATGCATTAAGAAATATTAGATGAATCTTTTAAATTGTAAGTTTTTAATTTCTTTATTAATAAAAAAATACCTTTCTATAATGCCTGCCCATGTAAAAAATTAGAAGCACTTTTGATATTTTCCATGCTTCTGTCTGGTGAAAAGTAGAGAAAATAAAGAGAAGATAAATATGTTAAGATTCTAGTATCAGAAGTAAAACATTTAAATATTATGCTTTCATTTTCCTTCCAGATGTTCTCCAAAAATTAAGAAATTCATTGCAAACCTTCTGTAAAATACATTCATTACGTGCTGATACCATGGAGACATTTTTCATTTTGTCATATATTTCTCGAAACTTTTAGAATCGTGGGTCTATAAATCTTGCCTTCAAATCCTTCCTAAACTAAAAAGGTACATTCCTTTTGTGTGACATCACACAAGAGGTGTTTTTTTTGGGGGGGGTGGGGGGGTTCAAGGAAAATTGCAGTTGAGAATGCAGCTATGCTTCTGCAAAATTTTAAAGATGATGCTTTGAGAAAATCATGAGTGTATTAGTAGTTTTACAGATTAAAAAATGATGACATATCAAATAAAAAATCTGATGACAAGCACAAATGAGGAAAATATTGAAAAAGTGCAACAGACAGTGCAATAAAGTTGATCCAAAGTCCATTCATCAGATTTCTGAAAAATCTGATCATTTCTCCATTTGACAGTTGCTGGAAAAGAACAACTTAGTACTTGTGTTCCATTCACCAAATCTTCTTCTTGTTTAGTACTAAGTTAAAACTCTCAAAAAAGTAATTCGTTAATAAGGTGGGGGAAAAATATGTTGTTCACTTTAAATAATGTTTTGTGTCAAGAATTCACATTTTTTTTTCCATGTTTTTTGCAATGGGCAAAACATTGGGGAAAATATATCACTAATGGTAGAAAAGAAGGGAACTAAAATATGTAAGTATAATACAATTGAAGAAGAAATTATAAATGAAAGTACGAGTCTCAATAAAAAGTTCTTGATTACTTGTTAGTTTGCCGCAAAGAATAAGTTCTTAAATGAATCAATAAAAGAAAAATTTATAGATTATCAGCATATTTTAATTCTGCAGAGTCAAAATATGAGTTAACATAATATAGTTATCACTCAAACAGAAGAATGAAATTTCCTGACTTTTCCACATGTGTTTTAAGAACATTCCAGTCTACCCATGCAATGAACATTGGCTGTGTTGAGATTAACTAAATTATGGTGCAGCTTGAAAACACAAAAATTTACCAATTACATATGAATTTGATTTAAAAACACCCTTACTTTTGAATCCCCAAAACATTACTATTAGAATTATAACAGGGGTAGGTAGTTCTCCCCAATAGCTTTCAAATTAGGTTTTTGCTAAAGTAAGAAAACTTGTATCATTTTTGCATGTTAAACACCATTCTCTTCAGTAATCAACTGCAGCACAAAATTAGTTAAACCCAAATAAATTATTCTTTTAATAACATGAAAACGGTACATAATACCAGGAGTGATTGTTTGTCAGGGTTGCCACTCAAACAGGAGAATGAAATTCCCTGACTTTTCCAGGTTGTTTTAAGAAAATTCCAGTCTATCTGTGTAATGCCCATTGGCTGTGTCATGAGGTAAATTAATTATGGTACAGTACAAAGTCCGTAATCCGGACTCATCGGGACTTCAGCGATTCCGGATTATAGATCATCAATTTAAATCTGGTAAGATGGCATGCAGAAATTACACAATTTAAAATATGAAACCGTAATTTATGAAATAAAGAGCAATTATGATCTAAAGGGTATCAAAATTTACCCCCCCAAAAAAAAGCTTAATACTTATTTGTTTACTTTATTAAACATTTCTTTCAATGTAAGTCGTTTAAGTTGCTTCGCTTTTTCTGCTAATACTTTCTCTTTAATTCTATAAACAGACATAATTTCTTGTTCAGTTACAAAATTCTAATATTCAAGTCCTGTAATTGCTGTTTCAAGAATACTGACTAACTTGTCAAACGAATTTTTTTTTTTGTTTTCAATAGCCTCTCTGCCATTTCCCTATTGGAAGCACGTATGGGTAAATGCTTTACGCGCATTAAACAAGCATGCGTAAGTTTGTGGCTTTGAGGTCCGAATTATAGATCATTCCGGATAATGGACATCCGAATTACGGACTTTGTACTGTATTACTTGAGAACACAAAAATTCGCCAATTACACATATATATAAGGGTTGCCCAAATGGAAAGTGGACAAGTTGAAGC